AATTACATCAATAAGACAAAGGGCATAAGCAAAAAAGCTTATAGATAACATTGTGTTTAATGGTAAAACAATAAACACCTTCCCTATAAGATCGGAGTAAAGCAAAGGATGTCTGTGTCTACCATTTCTATTCAACATGGTGTGACAGGTCTTGGCCAAAACAGATGTGGAGGCCGAGAAAGATCAAGGCCATCCCACCTAAAGTTTAGCATTAGCACAAGTACAGCCATCTTAGGTCCCTGTGAATAAGAGCTGAACTTTATGGGGGGGGGGGGGAACTGCAGAATGTCCTCAATGTCCTCGGCAGGTAATCCCATATCAGAAAGACAACAGAGCCCACACCCATGGTAGAAAGTCTCATATTAGAATGAGAACAGAGCTCAATGCCCTTGAAAGCCCCACATCAGAATGTAAACAGAACTTGGAGAAATTCTTCCACCCCTTCTAATCCCCTAGACTAGCCTATAAAAAACCCAGCTGTAACCCCCTTGGGGATCCAAGTCCCTGCTCCTGCTGTGTTGGGCACACTTGGACCCAAGCTCGAGCTTGCTAATAAACCCTCGTGTGCTTGCATCGGTGTCGACTCCTTGGTGGTTTGTCGGATTCGCAATCTTGGGCACAACACCGAAAGTCGAAAGACTATCTCGATTTGCAAATGGTGTGATCATTGCATAGGAACTCCTACATCATCTTCAGAGAGACAACTAGAAGTAATTAGTACGTTTAGCAATTTGTCAGGATAGCTGTTAGATCATACAACCAATCGAGATCAACCTAAAAAAAAAAAAATCCAACAAACTGTCAACCAACAATTGGAAAATGAACTCCAGAGGTTAGTCCATGCAGCATCACGAAACCTCAGGTACGTGGGACCAGATTTTACAAAGCATGAACAAGGTACCCGCTACAAAAGAGAACCAGCAGACACCCAATACTTAAATAAATGGCGTGTGTGGAGTAAACCACGCGCGTTAATTGGAAATCTCCCTACTGTAAAGATGCCCGTTCTCCATGAATTTTGGAGAATGATTGAATAGATTCAACACAATCTCAGTAAAATTTTCAGTAGACTTTTGAAGACATTGTCAGGCTGGTCCTAAAATTTATACAGAAGCGCAAGTCTTGTCATTGTAGGACGTGGACCATGTGATTTTATGACAGGCTATCACACTACAGTGATGGACTCGGGTGGTGTTGGCATAAGGCTAGGCAAGTGGAGCAGGGAAACGGAGTCCAGAGATAGACCTACCACGTACAGTCACTTGATTTACACTAACGGTGCCAGCGTGCTTCAGTCAGGTCCCCATCTTTCTCTTCTCCACAGCAGGTGCTGTGCTTCAGGCCTCCCCATCCATGGCAGCCCTTTCCTCCTCACCCCACATTACCTTTGGGAGGCTTAGGCAGATACCCCCTCCTCTGGGAAGCCCCCCAGCCTTCTGAGTGAGGATATCTGACCCTCCTCCTCACTTCCCTCACACTAGGGCACCCAGGAGATTTGTCATCCACACTGGGACACTTGGGAGTACAAAGGAACACTCTATTGGCACCAGGGCAATGTTGGTAAGCTGGGAGTGTCAAGGGCAAACTGGGGCCCTCCCTCAGCCTCTGGACACTTCAGTGCACAACCCTCACTCACATGCTGTCTTTGAACAGTGTTCATGCCCATCCCTTCTCCAGACCCCAAAGTCCATGTGGCCAGGGACCACACCATGGTGCATCTGCATCTTTTTTTATTTTTTATTTTATTTTATTTATATCTTATCTTATTTTATTTTATTATTTTATTTATGATAGTCACAGAGAGAGAGAGAGAGAGAGAGAGAGAGAGGCAGAGACACAGGCAGAGGGAGAAGCAGGCTCCATGCACCGGGAGCCCGACGTGGGACTCGATCCCGGGTCTCCAGGATCACGCCCTGGGCCAAAGGCAGGCGCTAAACTGCTGCGCCATGCATCTGCATCTTGAGTTCCCGTCCAGCACTCACCTCGGGGTTGGCTCTAATGATGTCTGTTGGCTGGAAGGGGAGAGTATGGCTGAGGGGGCATGAGGGGCTGGGGTGGCAGGACCCTGCAGGGGGCCCTCCTGTAACCAACGTCCAGCTCAGGGTTCAGGCCCCGGTCAGTATTCAGGCTGGCCAGGAAAGTTCTAGAACCCAGGGCCAGCCCAGTCTGATTCCACTGAGTTGCACTTCAGATCATTGATCCTTTGACTGTATCATATATGTGATCACCCATACGCCCTTCTGCCTGTCCATCGTTCAGTCAGTGCTCCCTGAGCCCCTCCTTCTGTCTGTCTGAGCTCCCAGCACAGGGGAGGCAGCAGTGGATGCAGTGGATGAAGCCACCTGCTCCCTGACCTCCGGAGCTCACCTTCTAGCCAGGTACATGGACAAGGACAGGTGAGCAAGTAAGGATGCAGGACACAAGGTGGGAAGCCTCTCTGGACCAGGTGGTCACCTTGAGTGCTCAGCCAGGGCAGGTGCGTGCCAGAGAACATGGTGCCCACTGACGGCTGGGTGGGACGTGCCGAGAGCTGCAGGGTGGGGTGGGGTGTCAAGGTCAGGGCTGGCTGGGGACATCTGCAGCTCTGCTGGATCTGGGAGGAAATGCAGTTGGCCTTGAAGGTCAGGACAGGCGGATAGCACCTGAGGTCGCCTCTCCTCAGGACAAGCTGCTTTGCCTTTGTTGCTCTGGATCAGATCTGCAAGGAGACACTGCTCCGCCCCCGATGCAGCCTGGGCTCTGGGCTGTCAGGTGACTTGCTGGAGGTCACACAGCTAGAGAGGTGCCAGCAGGATGGGAGCCCAGCGCCGTGACAGCCTCATCTCTCCAGGATGGAGGACACTTACTGGCTTGTTTGGGCTCAGGCTGGCATCCCCACGACGCAGCAGCGGGTTCCTGGCCAGAGGTCCCTGCGCTCCCCATCTGTCTAGATTGGGCTGTTTATCACTCGCCCCAGACACTGCTAGCCGCCTGTCCCAGCCTGTCCCCCCACCTGTCCCTGCCGGCACACAGATGGAAGGCCCCACATGGGGCCCCACAGCTATTTCCTAGGGCTGGGAGGATGGGGCACCTCAACTCTGAAGCCACGCCCCTAACCCTCATCCTATTCTGGGGCCTTCCAAGGAGGCCACACCCCTCTTCGGGGTATGACAAGCAACGTCACAAGAATGGACAGCCCCTCTGCACCCCACCCCATCCCACCCCTAAAGCAGACTCCCCGACCTGCTGGGGCTCCGGGAACTGCACCCACCCTCCCCAAGCAGCAAGATGGCCTTTAGACTTGCTAAGGAGAAAAGGAAAAGACGTGTAGATAAAATTAAATGTCCTTACAACCTGCAGCCCAGGGACAAACACTAGAGCCAGACAGAGTGACCTTCCTCCGAGAACTCCCAGCTGCCTAACGTTACCGCTGTGCTAGCGGCCAAAAGCTTCTTAGCCTGACAATGGCCAGACCTGCAGGATCCCGGGGGTCTTCTTTAACATATGAAAATCCTTTTGGAAACTTCCCACACCCTGCTCCTCCCAACTTGAAAGTACGGGATCACCATCCCGCCCAACCTCCGTGCAGCTCTTCCAGCCCGCGGGTCCTGTCCCCCGGCTTTAATAAAACCACCCTTTCGCACTGAAATCATCTCAAGAGTTCTTTCTTGACGGTTCGCTCCCGGCCCCGCCTCACGTCAGACCCTGATGTCCTCTGCTGGCGTCACGGGAAGGCAGGGGGCTTGGCGGCGTGGCCAGAGCCCGCCCTTCCCGGGAGGCACAGAAAACCTGCAAAAGCCGGTGTCTCTGGGTTGTGAGTGCTGACAGGTGACCCTCCTTTCCACTTCTTAAATCCCTCTGAAGTCCCCAAAGCAAGCAACGCATCATTTTTCTGCTGAAAAACATTTATAACTTTCTAAAACAAATCTGTGCTTGTAAAACGCTTTGTTGTGACAGGTACAGAATTAGCGTGCATTCGGTGTCCTCCTTTGGGTACCAGCTGCTGTTTCTGTGGGTCTCTTTCTACTGGAGACAGACGTAGCCAGAGGGTTCTCGCCCAAAACGTCTCCCTTTGGCTCCAAAGAGATTCGGTGATTCATCTTTTCACTATTTTCTGTAGGGCTTCAACGTTTTGACAATGACCATGGACTATCTTTTTTTCTTAATAGTCAGAAAAGACATAAAGTGATTTGCACTTTGAAAGCTAAAAAGCATGGCTTTGTGCCCCTCCCTCTGTCCTCCCAGTTCCGCCCCATCCCTCCCCGTCTCTCTCTCCCTACTGTCACAGGGAAAGCCCCAGGGTGAATCCCGCCGGGCAGGGTCTGCAGGAAGCAGGCAGGGATGGGGCAATGGGTGGGAGAGCTAAGGATACCGGGGAGGTGGGGAGGATGAGGATGAGGATGAAGTCGGGGGCTGGGGGCTGGAGCACCCCTGCGGGTGGCAGGGTGTCCGGGGCCCTTGGTGGGGGTGGGGCCGGAAGGGCAGGAGTCCAAGCTCCGCACACCCACCCCTGCAGAGAGCTAGCTCCCTGCTGCGCACATTCGGGTGGGGGGGTGGCTTAGGTGAGGACACAGCACCTTCTGGCGGCCGGTGAGGAACTCCCAGGGGGCGGGGGACGTTGGTGGGGGGCAAAGGACGAGGCTGGGTTCTATCACCCTCCTCGGAGGAAGCATCAACAGCGCGGCCCTAGTGGGCGTGGAGCACGGACATCCCAGCACCAGCAGCCACCCCTCCAGCCCCTTCTTGGGCCCTGCGGGGCCACCCTTCCTCAGCCCCGGTACCTGCAGGGTGGGGGGAGGCAGGAGCTGGGCCAGTGGATTCTGCCTGCAGTCTGCCGGTCCCCGCCCTCCCTTCGTCCCCACTCCCAGGCCTCCCCCACATCCTCAGGCTCCAGGGGCTGCAGGGGTCAGGACCACCACCCTCGCTCTGTCCCTGATCAGCCCTTAGGTCCCCTGGGCTGGTGAGCTGGGGCTGGGGGTCACCTGGGAAGGATGGGGGGGCGGGGGGGGCCAGGGAAGCCCCTACATGAGGCTCATGGGCAGGGACAGCCCGCGGGCCCCCCGCTGGGCCTGCTTCCCCAGGGACCTCTGCAGCAGGGCCCGCAGGGGCTGGCGCTGGCCCGGCTGCCAGCCGGCCATGAAGTGGAGGAGTGGCTTGGCGCTGCCGTGGACGCAGGCCAGGAGCATGGCCAGCGGGAAGAAGGCGGGCAGCAGGAAGCTGAGGAGGGGCTGCAGGCTCCAGTAGAGGACCAGGGGCAGGCCGCAGAAGCAGAGCAGGAGCGCGGAGCCCACGGTGACGCCAAAGAACTGGGGTCGCGGGCGCTGTGAGCAGCAGGCCACCCAGATGAAGAGGACCAGTCCGGCCACGCAGGCCACGCAGGCCAGGGACAGCAGCCACGTGACGCTGGCCGCGTGGTACCGCAGGCAGGTGAGCGGGCGCTTGCTGGCCCGCAGCAGGCCGCAGGTGTGGGCCGGCAGCAGCACGGCCGGTGGGGTCAGGGCCCAGACCAGGCCGCAGACGAGGCCCGAGGTGTGCCTGGGGCGGTGGCCCTGGTAGCAGGTGGCGAAGAGGAGAGAGAGGCAGCGCTCGGCGTTCAGGGCCGCCAGCAGCCAGAGCCCCGCGGCGAAGCCCACGAAGGTGACGGCGAAGTAGAGGTTGTCCTTGGAGCCCAGGGCGGCCTGGGCGATGGAGAAGCCCACCTGGAAGCCGAGGAACAGGAAGTCCGCGGCGGCCAGGTGGAGGACATACACGGAGAAGGGGCCCTTCTTGATGTGGAAGCCCAGATGCCAGAGGACGAGCCCGTTGCCCAGCAGCCCTCCGAGGCCGATGGCCAGAGTGAGGTAGAAGAGCACGTTGGTGAAGGCTCTCCAGAACCCGAACATCCTGGCTGGCTCGGCGGGGGGTGGGCCCTGGGAGGAGGGGGCGTGGGGGAGTCAGGAGGTGGGTGGGCAGGAAGCATCGCTTAGCTCGCGGGGTGCCAGCCCCGGGGGCCACCCTCCCTGGCCCACACCTAGCCCTGCAAGGCCTCAGTGACCTCTGCAGGAGGAGACTTGATCATAAGGGGTGCCTGGTGCAGGGTGCCTGAGGTGATGATGGCTGGCAGGGTGCTGGGGGGTGCGGACCCTGGCCTCCCCCTGGCTAGCTGGACCCAGTGAACGCACAGAAGATTTATAGGACCCTGCACGGTGGCAGAGGTCAGCATTAGGTGGGACAAATCCCTGCAGGTGAAGGGACCCCCATGCGGCCCACTTGGGGGCTTCCCGCCTCCTTCGTCAGAGACACTGCCTCAGGCTTCCCACAGGAGGGCCTGGCCTGCACTCCTGCCAGGTCCCTCACCCTGGAGGGTCTGCGAGGTGGTGTCCACTGATGGCCACAGGGACACGTGCTGTGCTGGTTAGGGAGGAAGAAGGACGTGGTGGTGGGGACAGCAGGTGGCTGGGGGGCTGAGGGAGCCCCTGGCCTCCCCTGGATAGAGGTTAAACCACTGGTACTCCTGTTGCCGGTGGCTTGAATGTGGTGCTGCTCAGAAGGCTTGGGGTGACCGTGGGGACCGTGGTGACAGGTTGCAGGGCCCCGGGTCCTCTGGGGAGAAGCTAATACAAGTGTTTGCCACCAGCTGCTCTCGGGAGCTGGAGGCCCCCAGTCCTGTCCCAACCCAGGCCCGGGGCCCTGTGGGGGCCCTGTGGGGACAGGACGGTCTCCAGGGCAGGGAGAGCTCTTGGGAAGCCCCTCCCTGTCCCGTGCCCCTCCCCCAGGACCCACAGGGTCCTTGTTTGCAGCCCAGAGATGTAGACCCTGGCTCCAGGTTAGGGGTGTGGGGTGCGAGAGTGATGGAGGGAGGACAGAGGCAGAGATGGGCTCCCCAGTGCCCTTGGGGTTCCCCCACACACCTTTGTTGCACTGTGTCCCCGCCCTGGGCACCCTGACCCCATCCCCACCTCCCTGTGACCCATCTCCCTTAGGGACCAGCTCCTCTTTCTGTCCCTGCTCTGAACACCTCCTGCTCCCCACCCGCACCCCAAGCATCGTCACCAGCACACTCTGTGGTTGCCCTTGTGCCCAGTGGGGTCTCGCCTTTGTCCCTTCGAGCCTCGTCCCAGATCAGGGCTTAGGGCAGCTCCTCCTTAGAGCCAGCAACCAGGGTCGGCCTTTGGTGTCCTGGGGTGACGGCAGTGACCCTCCCCTCTCTGGGCTGAGAGGTCCCCAATGTACACCCAGGGGACTGCCCAGACTTTGCTGCTCAGAGGGAAGTGGTAGCGAGGCACGGCTGTGCCCGGGAGGGCGGGGGGGCACTGCCTGGAAGGAGGTGGGAGGCTGGGGTGCTGGGCTGGGCCGCCTCTTGAACTCAGAGCAGTACACCTGCCCATTCACCTATATGGGGACCCAGAGCGCCAGCTTTTAAATAGTGCCACGTCGTCTGCTTCCCCATCCCTGTGCCCACCTCCCAGAGTCCTCGGGAAAGTGTCTCCTCCCTGGGGGGAGCAGGTGCAGGGGCCCTGAGTCTTCTCACCTGCTGTTGGGAGCCTCTCTGTGATCCACGGGGGCAGCTGCACTCACCACCTGCCTGGGCCCTAAGTCCTCTTGTGTCCTCTGGGGCCCAGCTGGCTGGACCGAGGGCGTCCGAGCCAGTTCCCTGGAAATGGTAGGAGTGTGCTGCCCATTCAGAGGATGAGCTCAGAGATGTCCTCAGTGTGGGCTGGCCCATGCCTTCCTCCTTGGCCCATCCTGCACGAGAGGGTGCCCTGCACCCATGCCTGCTGCCTGGAGGGGAGGAAGTGGCACTGGGCACCCCAAGTCCAGCCAGGAGGGGCCTCACCTTCTGGGCGGTTCCACTGAGGTGGTGCTTCCTCCCAGGGTCCTTTGGTTTAGTGCAGAGTCGCATGTGAGGCAGGAGCTGTGGGCGTGTCCTGACCCTCTCCGGCAGTGTGACCTTGTGCCTCAGTTTTTCTGCTTCTCGGACGGACCATTTGTGTCCAGCTTAGTGCCTGGCTTGGGGCTGGACCTCATGATGGGTGGATGTTGCTGAGGGTGGTCCATAGAGGTTGGCCCCCCTTCACAAGGACGCCCCAACCCCATTCCCACCCACACGCCCGCTTTAGACCCTGGCTGGGGTCCTGGCCATCAACAGATTCTTTGGGGTTAAAACACTTTCCCCAGTTTTGTTCTGCAGAGCCACGTAGCCCGACACATTCCTGACGAGGAACTTCCTTTTCCGTGGACTGTGTTCTATAGCTGCTGGAGACTCTCCGAGCTCACCGTGGCTCAGCGTCAGAAGTGATGTCGCAGAGCCGCTGTTTCTCAGATGGCTGCGAGCTCATTTCCACAACATGAGTGTCCTGCCCTGGAGGGCGAGTCCTTCAGCACAGCCTGAGAGCCCGGGCTGAGGTCGATGATACCCCAGCTCCCAGCATTTCTGCACCGTGCCTAAGACTGTGAGCAGTGTGTGCAACCTGCAGGCCCAGTGGCTGGGTGTCTTTCTGCAGGATGCAGCCAGCCACCCGCCTTGCCTGCTCCCCCTGCACTGGGCTGGTGCCTTGGGACCCTCCTCAGTGTCTCCGGATGCCCCCTTCCCCCCCCACACACACAACTGCCAGTTTTCCTCAAAGGTCACCCTCCCTGGGAGCTGTCCCCAGCATGTCCCTGTCTCCCTACCATGCTGATTGTCTTGTCCCCACCCCATGGGTAGGTCCTACCTGGTGTTTTCTATCCACTGCCACTAGTGAGGCCTCATACATGCCAGGCCCTCAGGTGGTGGCAGTGCTGACAGCAGCAAACACCTGCGTGATGCCTGCTGTGGGCTGGGAGATTCATCCACGTCCAATCCCTGCCAGCTATGGAGGTGGCCTTACTGGAGCAAAGGGTCTTTGCAGAAGTGAGTGAGGGTTTTGAGAGGAGAGCATCCTGGATTATCTGGGTGGACTCTAAACCCAGTGACAGGTGTTCTTTTTTTTTTTTTTTTTTATGATAGTCACACACAGAGAGAGAGAGGCAGAGACACAGGCAGAGGGAGAAGCAGGCTCCATGCACCGGGAGCCCGACGTGGGATTCGATCCCGGGTCTCCAGGATTGCGCCCTGGGCCAAAGGCAGGCGCCAAACCGCTGCGCCACCCAGGGATCCCAGTGACAGGTGTTCTTAGAAGAGAAAGGAGACACAGACACAGAGAAAGGAGAGGCCATGTGACCACAGAGGTAGAGGCTAGGGGCGTGAGTAGGGTGAGGGACACGGCCACAGCCCAGCGGTCCCAGGAGCTGGAAGAGGCCGGAAGGACCATCCCTGGAGCCTCCAGGGGAGCCAGGCCCCGTGACACCTTGATTCAGGCTTGCGGCCTCCAGGCTGGGAGACCAAGTCTGCGGCAAGCGGCCATCTGTGGTCCCCTGTTGTGGCTGCCCCAGGACAGGGGCAGGAGGCTGCTCTGCTGTGCACTCCCACGGGGCATCTCACTTCACTCCCGGTGCTGCCTCCAATGCATTGGGTCCCCCGAGCTGCGGATGGGCACACTGAGGCTGGGGAAGCAGGGACGAGTTATCTGAGGTGGTGTGGACCTCATGGGGCAGCAGGGCGGTGGCCAAGCGGCTGTGTCTGTGCGTCTCTCCCCAGGAGCATCCGGGGCGCTCAGGTCTGGAAGCCTCCACGTTCTCAGACCCTCAGACTTGGGGTGGAAACCAGAAACATCAGGTGTTGTTTGGACTCGTCTTTCCCGAGCTTCTTTCACAGCTGGTACCTTGTGTCCTGTCCCCAATCCTGACCCTGCCACCTGAAGTCTCCACTGTGTCCAGTGGCTGGAGTTAAACCACTTTGACATACAAAACAGGCCACTTCACACTGTTCAAGCCCAACTCAGCTCTGAAGCTGCGGGTGGGCCAGCATGCCTCCCTGTCTCCGGGTCCGGGTCTGCAGGTATGGGCTTGGCCACCTCTTAGGGACATGTCTCAGAGACTCAGTGAGGAGCCCATGCTGGGAGAAACGAGGTGGGGGTTCCACAGTCACCCTCCCATCTCAGCCTCAGGACAAAATCACCCCCTTCTGAGACTCAGACCCCTGGGGGCAGATGGCAATAGGGGGCAGAGGGAGGTAGCCCCACTCCTTGGCCATGGGGCATCCCAGTGCCGCACCGAAGCCACTGGCCGGCCTACAGAGGTGGTGAGAGCATGCCTTAATGTGGGCATTACTGTTCTCCAGACACATCAGAGGACGATTGTCAGTGGAGAGGCAGGTCGCTGGGGACCCCTGCCAGAGACCACCTGCGATCAGGAGTGTGGGCAGGAGTGTTTTCTGTGGTTTTGGTTGGGACGGGCTAGTCCGGGTGAGAAGGCTGAGGATGGGCCGGTCTGTGTAACTCGGGCTCCAGGGCGCAGGGGCCATCCCTGCCGTGGGACACCTGTCCCGGGCTGGTTAGGGCAGGAGAAGGTGGCCTGTGGGCTCCCTGTGGCTGCTCTGCATTTGAAAGCACTTCCCTCCCAGGCCTTGGTTTCCTGTCTCTGGGAGGGACAGTCCCTGCAGGATTCCCCAGGGCCTGGGAAGCCAGAGCTTCAGAAATACATAGAATAAAGGGAGATGCTGCAGAGGGAGAGCAGATCTGGGTCTGAGGCCCTGTTGGTTCTGCCTCAGGCTCCCGGGCTCCCTAGGGGGAGGGCAGCCTGCTGGGCTGGGAGCGCCCCACGCCTGCCCGGAAATCAGACCTCTGGGCCCGCACTCGGCCCTGCTGCCTCCGAGGTGCATCCTGGCCTGGGGTGTCCATGTTCTGAAACCTTGGCTCCCCACAGCTTCCCTGTGCCGTTGGCGGGCCGTCGTGCACGTTAAAGTTTGATCGTTTGTCCAACATGAACCCTTGACACGTGGCGGCTTTTTCTAACTTTGATGGTAGCTCTCATGGCTGTAGAA